ATGATGCCTGGCATGGTGGTACACACCAGTTATCCCTGCAGTTTGGGGGGCTGAGACGGGAGGGTTTCAAGTTTAAACCCATCCTGAGCAACTTGCCCCAAAATTTAAAAATTATAAAAGGGCTGGGATGTATCTCACTGCAAATGCACTGGCTTCAAGTTCCAGGACATAATGAAAACAATGTGAAAACAGCTCAGTTCATGCATAAGAGGCCTTATGGGTGATCAGCTCACACAAGTAAAATAAGAAATCTGGTATTAACTATGACAGAAAAAATGTATTTACATAAATTATTTCAAGATTTCAGCTGTTATTTAATCAATCAAAACCAGAAATTAAATTTTCATCAAATTTTAATTCTGATTGTGCACAATGATGTTTAAAATAATGATGTCTACACTGTACTTTTTATATTATGGAAAGAAGTAAAATAAAATTTCATAACAAAATAATAGAATAACAGTAGTTAATACATTGCATATTTTTTAAAGTAGTTACTCAGCGTACAAGATATGGACCCCAAAATTCTACAAATAATATTAGTACAAACCTTTCTTTTCAATGAATTAAGAGAAACTAATAGTATAACCCTCTTGTATTTATTTCTTTTCCCTTTCGTCCTTTCCGTTTTTCCCCATGTTAGTTCTTTTTTCCTTTTGAACAATTTCTCAAGTTGCATCCATTTGCCTATAAAAGTCTCATGTTTATAATTCTTTATGGCTGAGTAGTACTCCATTGAATATGTATAAAAAACACATCTTTGTTATCCATTCCTCAGTTAATGGGCATTTGTGTTGTTTCCAAGATTTAGCGGTGAGAAATTGTGCTGCTATAAACATGGGTGCACATATATCACTATGGTATGATGTTTTTAATTCTGGGAAGATACTTAGAAGGGAAATAGCTGTATCAAATGGGACCACCATTCCTAGTTTTTTGAGGAATCTCCATGCTGATTTCCACAGTGGTTGGACCATTCTGCACTCTCATCAACAGTTCAGAGTAGTTTGCTTTTCCCCACTGTCTTTCTAGCATTTGTTTTTCTTTTGGTTTTTTTTGTTTGTTTGTTTGTTTTGGTTTTTTTTTGTTTTTCTCCGGTACCGGGAACCAAACTCACGACCTTGTGCTTGCCAGGCAGGCGCTTTGCCGCTGAGCTAAATCCCCAGCCCCCATCTAGCGTTTGTTATTTGCTGTTTTCTTGATGATAGGCATTTGTTCTGTAGTGAAATGAAATCAGAATCTGTCAGGAGAATAATGATGTTGAGCATTTTCTCATAGATTTATTTGCCATTTGTATTTCTTCATCTGAGAAGATGAAGAAATACAAATTCATTCATTCATCTCAGATGTCTACTTTGGTATTGGTCTTTGAATTTGTGGCCCCTGATTTTTTTTTTCAATTTTTTATATGTTCTAGATATAATGCTTTTGTTTGAGGGACAATTGGCTAAAATATTCCTACTTTATGGGCTGCCTTTTCATTCTGTTGGAGATTTCTTCTGTTGCACAAAATCTTTTTAATAAGACAAGATCCCAGTTGTTGATTCATTGAAGTACTTCCCATGTGGTCTGGGTTTAGTTCATGAAGTTTCTTCCTTCACTTCAGTCTTCAAGATTTCTGCTCATTTTTTCTTCCAGTAGATATAGCGTTTCTGTTTTAATATTTAGGATCTTTGATCCATTTTGACTTTAATTTAGTGCATAGTGATAGACGTGGGTCTAGTTTGAGTCTTCGGCATGTGGAAAGCCAGGTTTCAAGGACCATTTATTAAAGATGCTATCTCTTCCAGTGAATAGGTTTGGAGCTTTTGTCAAGGATAAGATGGCTGAGTGTGTTAATAGTTGTGTCTGCATTTTATAATCTGTTCAATTGATCTTCAGGTCTGCTTGTTTGCTAGTGCCATGGTGACCTAATGGTCAGCTTCTTTAGTTCTCTTCAGTCATCTTAAAACCTCACTCAGCCAGGTAACAGGTTGGAATAAGGCACACATGTGTGCCTTGGGCCATTTTATTAAGGCAATGTGATAGGCCAATACTATATTTTCCTTTCTATTATATGTTAGAGGATATAGTTTTATTTAAGATGAAGAAAATAGAGTCACAAATTCAACAGATTTTTCACACCAAAACAACACATAAATATTCCCATCTGCAAACTATAATGCATCTCATCTCTCTGAACACTCACACTCCACTCTTAATTGTGTGTTTACATTTCTACCTAATGAACCTTTCTCCTGTTTCTTACTGATATGTCTTGGAAATTCTTTTGCCATGATGGGAATCAGTAACCTGCATACCTATTCTATGAACTAGGTGGGTTAGGTTCCTTTTTTCAGCTCAGGAACCTCCTGGGACCTTGTCTAGTAACAAGCATTAATCCCTCTTAAAATGCTCATCACCTCCCACTAGCCCTGCATCTTAAAGAGTCCAGCACATTTCAACGTCACTGAGTTCAAGGGTACAGTAAGTGAACCCGTGGACCACACTAATCAAATCATAATTACAGCACAGTCCTCTTTCCAAGACTTCTTTTCTTTATTGTCTGTATTTTAATATACAGAAAATAGAATTTATTTTGCATAATTGTAGTTAGGACTGCATTTACACATAATATAAGAAATAATTACAGCCTGGAGTGGTGGCTCACACCTGTACTCCCACCACTTGGGAGGCTGAGGCAGGAGGATCATTGTGAGTTCGAGACCATCCTGAGCTACAAAATGAGCCCAAGGCCAGCCTGAACTGCATAGCGAGACCCCGCCTCATAAAGACAAAAAAAAGGGGCTGGGGATTTAGCTCAGCGGCAAAGTGCCTGCCTGGCAAGCACAAGGTCGTGAGTTCGGTTCCCGGTACCGGAGAAAAACAAAAAAAAAAAAAAAAAAAAAAAAAAAAAAAAAAAAAAAAAAAAGAGAAAGAAACAATTACAAAACAATGTAAAAATAAACCAATTATTTTACAACTATTCACTCAGAAAAAATAAATGCAGCATAGTGAGATTGTTCAAAAAGTTTTGGGGTCAAGGACACTTGTATTCACATTAACATAAAGATTTAAGGCCATTGACAATGCCTGCCTGTGCAGGAATTACTATAAAAGGATGGGAAAATTTTGTTATGAAATTTAGGTTGTGCACTATATAGGAAGCAGTCAGCACTTGGCCTGAAACACCTGTACAAAGCAAACAATGCCCTCCGGAGTATACGCTCAGTGTAACCACCATGCACAGAGTGATCTTCACAGTGCAAGATGTGCCCTTCCATCACTAACTGTATCTCAGAAAAAATACCTAACTCTGACTGTATCTATCATTTTACAACATGGGATTTAAAAAATAATCTGATACTCCCTCATTCTAGGATGTTCAACCTGAGGTACAGTCTTAAGAACCATTCCAGCATATTTTATACTAAAACAACTCTATTTTGCTACTGCAGGTAGCAATGAGAGAATTCAACATTTCAATTTGCACCATCTGTGCATAAACAGGTCTTTTCCAAGAAAGAAATGCTTTATCTTTGAGTCACCACTGAGAAGCAGCTCTCCCAGCTTGAGGAGCTGCATGATGATGAGCTGCATCCTCAGCTTGTGAAACAAGTGTCAGAATTCTGTTCCTTCATCTCCGGTCACTCTGCAGCCAAGACTCTTCCAGGAGGCATCAAGGTCAATGGACCCTGTGAGTATCTACTGACATAGATTCCTTCAGCTCAAAGGAAAGTATAAGCAGTACATGAGTCTCCTTGTTGTACCAATGCTGAAAAAATTATCAGTAATCACCACCATGAAAATTATATGCCACATATTTATAAAGTTATGGTGGATATAGAACATAATTCTCATGTGTTTTTTTAGCTATGCCTCCAAATTTAGATACAACAGAAAAGAAAACACAAAAAACAAAGAGCAGGTAAAGTTAAAGGATATTTTCCTTTACATGTGTCACTCTATAGACTGTCTCCATCCCTAGAAGATTCCAAAGTGGGTTTTTTGGTCTACCGTTTTTTGTTGTTGTTGTTGTTGTTGTTGTTGTTTGATTGTTTGTTTATTTATTTATTTATTTGAGCCAGAATTTTACTATGCTGTTCAGATAGATCTTGAAATCATTATGCAGCCTGGGCTCACGGAGATCCTCCTGCCTCTAGAGGGTTGGGATTACAGGTGTGCATCAACATGCCTAGCTCGTCTAACTTTTTCTAAGGAATCTCTGTCTCAAGTTCCGTAAATACCTGCTATATTACAGAAGGAAGTTGAGTACAAGTTACAGAGAGAGCCTGGTGTGATGACACACACCTATAATCCCAGCTCAGAGTCTGAGGCAGCAGGATCATTGCAAATTTGAGATAGCCTGGGCTAAAAAGTGGGCTACAAGGCCAGCCTGAACTGCATAGTAAAAAACAAGCTAACACAAAATTAAAACAAAGAATTTTCCAGAAAGGATAAGAAACACCCCGTCTAAAATTTCTCAAATTGTCTTCCACCTGAGATGGGTATCTCTCATAGCTGCTTTACTACAATAAAGTAAAAAGGAAAAAGGTAAAACAAGTTTAAGCGACAGATCATAGGATGACAGGAACAGGGCTCCCTCTAAATCCAGAGACCTGAACACCTGGATTTTGGTGTGCAGTGGCAAGAAACAGTCTGCCCTCCCTCCAGGAGAAAGACACCTGAAATTCTGTCTTGCCCTCTGCAGACCCTACTTTCAAACACACTTGTCCCATTTTCCTTAGCTCTTTCTGAAGAAGTTGTGGAAATGTTCCTTTTCAAGTATCTTTACTTAGGCTGTCATGGTTACATTAATGACCTGAATCAATAAAATATATATATATATATATATATATTTCAGGTTCATTTTGATTTTGGAGAAGAGCCAGAATTTGCACAGTGCCAGATCTGGTGGATGAGAACACACCACAGTATCTTTCCAAGCCTGCCTTTTTCTAAAATGACACATGGCAGGAGCATTTACCATATTACTGACCATACCTCAAAAAGATACTCACAGAAGAGGACTCCCAGAATCCTTCAGAAAGGGCAAGACTGCCTGGAGATGTAGCTCAGTGACACAGTGCCTGCCTGGCAAGTGCAAGACCCTGAGTTTGATTCCTGGTACTGAAAAAAAAAGGGGTCATGATGATAGCATAATTGTGTTCAAATAAGAGGAAATATTTTGAGGAGGATTAACAGCAATGTGTATTTTACTGTGGCTTTTATTTGAATATCCACTATATAGTTTTAGCATATGTTTATGCATACATATAAAACTTAAAAATTTTCACAATTCAAAAGAAATAATCTCTTTGAGCAGTTTCTGCCCCTTTCACAGTATGTATTTTACCTTTTGAATCCTGTTTATTTTTCCATGTTCTTACACTAGGGAGACAATACAATGTTTACACAAGCAAGTCTGATTTATTTCACTTATGAGTATGGTCTCTCCTTGCATTTATTTACCTATAAAAGCCTTGAGTTTATCTTTTCTTATGGCTGAGTAATACTACATTGTACTTTGCATGCCTATATGTTGTAATCTGAGCAACTATTTAAAGATAACAATATGCAATATAATAACCATTGTCAATTTTCTATCATCTTGTTTTGAAATTCTGTATCATTTTCATTGTTTTTTTCTCTTTTTAATATAAAAAGACAACAAAACATTAGAGACAATACAGAGTTTCAGTACACAAGATAGTAGGAATTCACCAGTGGTTGTTCCATTGCATACTGTTTTCTTCAAATCAGTTGCTCAGATTACCAGATATAAGCATGAAAAGTTGGTCAACACATAAAAAATTTTAAACATTAACTCTACCTTTTAAAATTATTTTTTATTCTCTTTAATGGTTTGAACGATCATTCTTACATCTGGTAATCTGTGCAACTTCATTGAAGATAACAATATGGAATAACAACCACTGTTAATTCCTACAGTTTTGTTTTGAAACCCTGTATCATTTTTAATGTTCTTCCCTTGTTTTGTTTATGTCTGTGATGTTGGAATTTTGCTGTTGTTCTTTTTTTCCTACTTTCTTTAAAATAAAAACTTAAAAAAATAATCAATATAGGGAAAAGAAAACCTATGGAATGTGACAAAATATTTTTAAGTTACACAGGATAAGAGGAATAAAATTCAGAATATGTAGATGATTCAACAACAAACCACTGCACACGGGGAAAAATTTGCAGACAGTTCTCTAAAGAACATGTACAAATGCCTAATAAGCACCTGAAAAGACATGTAATGCCTGTTATGACTTGTATCTAGATGTTCCCCTAAAGCTTCATGAAGTTATAGGTAGGGCTTTTCAGAGGTGGCTGAATCTAGTGTGTGTGCTGCTGGTATTAAGGGTGTGTGATTACACCCTTAATTAGTCCACTGATTGATTTGGCACAGCTCTGGATGTGGATGTCACCACCCAAAGGGCAAGTACACTGAAAGGGATAAAAGGGAGAGGCAGGCTGCTGCTGCTGCTGCAGCTGTGGCTGTGGCTGCTGCTACTGCTGCTGTCGCTACAGCTGCTACTGCAGCTGCTACTTCACTGCATCACTGCCTTCTGCCTGCCGCTCCATGCCATGGACTGTTTCTCCTCCAGCACTCTGGATGCTGAGGCAGGAGGAGTGTTGTTAGTTCAAGACCAGCTTGGGCTACAAAGTGAGTTCAAGGCCAGCCTGAACTGCATAGTGAGACCCTGTCTCAAAAAGACAAAAAAAAAAAAAGTAAAATTAAAAAAAGAAAAACTTGGACCAGTGGTAGAACATTCAAATAAAATGGTTCTTTCCAGGAGAGAAATCAATCATGTTAAAAGGCACCTACAGGATAGCACAAAAAATTTTTGCAAACCATGTATTTGGAAAGGAATGAATATTAAAATATTTAAAAAATTTCTATAACTCCGTAGCAAAGCCAACCAAATAAACCAATTGAAAATTAACAAACAACTCCAATATGTATTTCATTAAAGAAAGAATATGAATGCTGGAATTAAGGTTGTGTGGTTACTAAATTAGGCCAGTGATTGTTTTGGCATAGATATGGGTGTGGATAATGGTGTGGGTGGCACCACCCAAAGTACAGGTACACTGGAAGGGATAAAAGGAAGATGCCGGTTGCTGCTGCTACTTACCTTCCTCACTGTTTTCTGCCTTCTGTCTGCCCTTCCATGCCATGGACTGTTTCTCCTCTGTGATGCCCTTCTGCCACTCTAACCTGCCTTGGACCCAGCCACCTATGCACTGAAAACTCTACAAACTATGAACCAAAATACACCTTTAATCCTTTAACTTTGGATGTTGGATATTTTGTCTCAGCAATGAGAAAAGTAAGTAAAACAACACCTCTTGGCATGAAACATAGAAAGATCACAATGCAATATCTCATAATACCCATTAGTAGAGTCACTTTTAGAACAACAGAGAACTAGCACTACAAAGGGTGGGGAGAAGCTAAATGCTCTTCCCACTGTAGGTAGAAACAGAAAATTTACAGAAAACAGTATAGAGATGGTTTGAAAAATAGAATTACTATGACCCAGTAATCTTCTGCATATGTATACAAAAAACCTAAAAAGTGGAAAGAGATACTTGCACCCCAAGTTCACTAAAGTATTTATCAAAGTAGACAAGAAGCTGAAACAATTCAAATATCCATCAACAGATAAAGAATAAACAAAGTAAACTATGTGTATATGATGGGATATTATTCAGCTTCAATAACTAGATCACACTGTGGCAGGCTACATCGTGTATGCTATGCTTTGCATGATGGTCTCCAAAGGTCCATACGTTAAGGCCTGGCTCTCAAAGCACCCACTGGGTGGTGCTGGAGACCCACAGGAAGTGGGCATTGGGGATATCCATAGGTTATTGGGGGAGTGACTGCAGAAGGAACTTGAGGACCCCACCAATCCACTCTTTCTATTTTGTGGCTCCAAACATGAGTGCTTACTCTGACAGCACATCTGCCAAGATGTGACACCCTGGCCAGATGCCCAAACAGAGAGGGCATACCTCTTGAATATGACCCTCCAAACTGTGAGCTAAATAAACCTTCTCACTATAAGTTCGTTGCCTCAGGCACTTTGTTCTAGAAAAACAAATCTCAGTAATACAATGGAGGACTCTTGTATACTTTATCACAAGTGAAATAAGGCAGACACAGAAAGACAAGTACTATGTGATTCAGTTATATGAATGTATCAGTCAGCGTTCTCTGTTAACCCAGAAACAATAGGGTTCAGAGAGAGATTTATGACAGGAGATTTATTAAGGGATATGATTCCCAAAGTTAGGGAAGCTGCAAAGTCTCATAAGAGGCCTTCAGCAAGCTATAGATCTTAGGATGCTAGGAGTTGGCTCTATCAAAATCCAAAGGCCTGAGCACCTGAATTTACAGTGTCCAAAGGCAGGGCCAGATTATATTTTGACTCCAGGTGTGATCACTGAATTTTCCTGTCTTCTTGCTCCATCTAGGACCTCAACCACAAGGGGGTGGATCTTCCCTCTCAGATCAGTGATTCAAATGCCAGTCTGTCTGGATGAAACCCAAAGAGACACCTAAACACAAAACTTTATCAGTTCTGTAGCTATCCCTTGATACAGTCAAATGACACTTAAATTTAACCACCACAATGATAAAAATAAAGCAGTTAAACTCTTAAAAGCAAGGAATAAAGAGTAGAGGATTAAGGAAGAGTAAATCAATAGGTACAGAACTTCTCTTTTGCAAAGCAAAAAATTATATATTCCACTGCACTAAAATATAAAGATATTTTAATGAAATGTATACCTATGGTGGCAATGATGGTAAATATTACATTATATGTTTATTGCATAATTTAAAAGATAAATAAAATCACTAATGCATAGATAAGCCAATCAAAAGTTAGAAATTGAATGGGAATACAGAAAACTACCAAATAATTATGAGAGAATAAACAAGGCTTTTGAGAGCTAGGAATGGTGGCATAACTCCTACTCCAAGCACTTAAGAGGCTTAGGCAGGAGGATCTGAAATTCAAAGTCAGCCTTGGCTACCAAAGAGATCTTTTCTCAAAAGAAGGGTTGAAGGGAAGGTAAAGGAATGGGGGGGAAAAGAGGTTATATCATGTACAGATACAAATTCTCTATGATGAATGTGATCATTATGTATCTCTAAAATGTACAAATAAAATCTGATTGGAGAAAACAGCACAGAGTTTTGAATAAATAAAGCAAAAATCCAGGCTTTGAAAAGAAAAGAATTAAAGTAATATCTATAAGACTACGTGAATCAGAGAAGTCAATAGAATGTACTGGAAAAGAGCTCACTGCTGTGTGCAAAATATATATTAGTGATAGATATTTACACTGTTGTTCTGAGCTTACTAGACTAAGAAGAAAATAACTGACGGTCAAAAATAAATTTAAATATAAAGAAGGAAAACCATTGGACCATGTTATAATACATTAAATGCATTTTACATAATGGACTTCGAACTAATTTCCCCACTGTTAACAGTTTCAAATGTTCCCATTTGCAGTCCTACCTGCATTTCAGTGTCCTGAGCTCCTCCCTGCCTCTCTCTGGAACTTTGTTTTCAATTGCCAGGGTGCAGGTCGATGTCATCCACTGGAGTAAGTCCTGTGAGGGCAGGGACTGTGTCTGAGAACACTCACACACTCAGCACTAGCACAGTGCTGTGTACTCAGTGCATCTGCCCTCCACACACACACACGTGTGTACTGGTTTGCTTTTCTAAAGCCCAGACCCTGCCTCTGTTCTAGATGGGACTCTGTGAGTCCTCCTGACTGGGGCGTGTCCATGAAGCTGCACTCTCTGGAGCACCTGCGCAGAGCTTTTTTTGCGAAAAGCTCCCTGCCATTATTTCAGGCATTCCATACCTGAAACTCATAGTCTATCTGTCCTTGGTCGGTAGTCTTCTGGACAATCTTTGAAATCTCCAAACGTATATACTAAATTCTGAATTATGGTGATACGAAGAGTGAATTAGAGCAATATAATAGCTCCATAGACTGTAAATCAAGTTATCATGAAAGGGAGAAAATGTAGCGTCCTCATGTCCAGTATTTAATGAAAAAAGTTCCCAGACAAAATTTTCAGTTTCGTAGAACAAACAGAATGTGCACGCCTCCTTCCATCTCGTGGTTTTGTTGACACCCAGGGTATTTCCCAGAAATTAAGAGCTTGCCATACTTTCACTTTCTATATGATGTACAACAAACATGAAAATTCTTTCCAATTGTCCTGAATTGACCCCAGAACTCATCTAATAATGA